TATCTGTCATGATTTAAGCCCGAGAAGTTCCCGTCTCAGTATCTGCAGTGGCTGCAGAGCCCCAGCCAAGCCACAGCAACCTCTTTCTCAGGGCAAGTCAAGCTAAAGCCAATCCCGTGTCTGCTGCTGTTGGTCCCATCTCTGGGGAAGGTCTTTCGAGCTCAGAGAGTTGCTTTCTAATTCATGGAGCCACCAGTATTTTTCTGACAAAAACCAAGCCCATCACAAGCAAGTTCACGCATCAATTATTTCCTTTGATTTCTCTGCAACCATCGCCCACCATCCTGGCCCACACTTAATCTTCTTGTGCGTGTCGCACAGTTTTGGTCTTCCATTCTAATGGAGTTCACTCAATGACCCGGTCTGCACCCAACAGCCCATGTCTACCACGTGCTTTTGGTAGGATAGCCACCAGGTGTAAAATTCAAACATTGCCGAACATGGTATCCCTGATTCACTCTCACTTGAGATTGTTTTTGAACCCAGAGGAAAGGTTCTGTTCTCTCAATCCAATAAACATGAATGCAAGACAACCAAAGCTGTCCTTTCCTACTGGTATACCATTCCATGTAGCCTTTGCCCGTTTTCTTTATATCACGTCCACGATTTGAACTTACTGAAATGAAGTCACACTGTACCCACCCTTCATGAGGTCAACAAGTGTGTACAAGAGCACACACACCCGAGGGAGACCACACACACCTGAGGGTTCTGAAGCTGACCTGGCATCGTACCCGTGTCTCCAGTTTTTTTGTCTCATTCCTGACAACAACAATAATAATAACAACAAAAACAATTAGTATTCTTCCTATTATGGGTATTGCTTAGGATTGATTTAGGATGCTCTTTTTGATTGAATGAAATAGTCCCTACCCTATCCAATGCTGTGTTACTTGCTTACTTTATTAAGGTTACACACTGAGGTAAAACGAAACAATGAGCCAAATACCAGCCACAGACCACTCCCATCAAGGGATAATATGGATGGCACATCCCCCGAATCACTTGCTTCTTGCTTTGCGCCAAACCAAGTAGCAACAGCAGCAGCAGCGAGGGTCCCAGAGGTCACCCTCAGGTCAATGCCTGATGGCGCTGGAGCAGTGGTCGCCAGGGCAACGTGATGACGAGCATGCCCTATACCTGCACTGTCCCAGGCAGCATGGCTCCCGTGCCCTTGAAACATGGCTGGGCGAAGAAGGAACCAGAGTTTTAGCTGTATTTAATTTTAATTAAATGAAAATAGCCACACGTGGCTAGTGGCTGCCCTATTGACCAAGGGCCATCTCAAGGACTTTTTGGCCTCGTTCTTTAAAGACCTAAATCTGATCTTCCTCAAAACTCCCACTAGGGGACACTTTCTGTGTTCTCGTAGCGACAGAGAAAAGGCAGAGTGGCTTCGGGCGACCCTGGGACGGGCTCCTCTGTAACCAGCAGGGGTCAGTGAATTGGGAACAGGGTCCCCAGGGACAGGCTTCCCAGGGACGGGTGTGAACACACTCCGGGCTTCTGAGCATAAGCAAAGAGCTAAAAAAAGAAATTCCAAGCGGCTTGAAAGACTATCTTGAAAAACAAAAACAGTGGAATGGAACCAGTGGGTGTCCTGTCAGCCTTAAGCAACCACCAGCGCTGGCCAAAAGAACAGAACTAATTGCTTACTTAAAAGGAAAAAGAAAAAAAACAAAACAAGAAAAAACACACAAAACAAAACATGAGAAAAGAACTAAATCAGAAAATATCTAAGGAATGTTAAGTCGTTTCCACAGACACTTCTAACCAAATGGCCTGTGTATGCTATTTCAACACGGCTATTTTCTTTCCTGCCTTCTTTTTCCTCCCGACTCGACAGAGACACCTCCTTTCTTAAATGTAATTACTTGTGTTTACCCATCGAATGAGGGGATAAAACATATGGCGCACTTCTCTTAAGAGCGGGGTGGGCTCCTCTCTGTGCAGTGGTGACCTGTGGGGGACACAGCCACTTTCGGGTCTGACTTGGAAGGTCTGGCCACTCTGATCCCATTAGCATTTACCCTGCCCCTAACCAAGCACAGCTGTTTCCTCTCTCCCAACTGCTCCCCTCGGGGGCCCTTTTTTTTTTTTTTGAAGAAGAAGAAAGGAAGGACCACCCTGAACAGAAAGGGCTTTCTCTCCTCTCCTACTTAAAGCCTGAGACCCAGTTTTGCCAGGAGAAGGAACATGGGAAATACAGCACATGCTTTTGTAAGTCATCAGCGGGCAGAAGGAAGGGCTCTGAAGACAATATTATGATTCTGTTTTCTGGAGGCAAGTTACAAGTGCCACTTTTCCAAACTTCAGGGCTTCCTCTGGAGGAGGAAAATAATTATTTTCTTTCTCAATATCTTAGGGGAAAAACACCACTAGATCGAGTAGTTCCTTATGGCCCTAATTTTCCTTCTGTCCCCATCCAGCCAGCCACAGGTTGGAATCCTGCCCGCTTTGCGAGCTTGCTCCAAAGAGCCCTACCAACCGCAGGCTGCGATGCATCAGCCGAGTGAGGCTAAGGACTAGAATTCCCAACCAGTAACCAGGGCACTCAGGGACGGGGCAAGGGCTGGGCCAGGGGGAGGCAGAAATGAGCAAGCAATGGGCAGGGGTAAAGGCCAGGGTCAAAGGGAGAGTCACGGAAGCTCTCCCTGAAGTGTCCCCTGCTAATTGGTGGCCTTGCAGCCTGGCCTGGGAAGGCCTCAGACATTCTTAGAGAACATCTGCTTAGAAGAGTGCAAGGGAAGAGGCTGAATGATTGGACAGGACCTGAAGATGAATGCTGGGTAAGAGCCAGTAAAGGTCTCCATGCTGTATCAGCCGCGTCCCTTTATTCAAACTGCCTCTGCCAAGCTCCCCTCTTACACACACATGCGTGCATATAAATCACACCCACACACACAGATCTATAGACACAGGCACAGAGATTCATGCACAAAACACACGCACAGGCATAGACATATTTATCAATACATCTACATCTACACATAAAAACACATGATATATGCATATATACACACACACACAAAACAAACACCTTGAGAAATAAACATACATACACATATGTACCCACAAATACACACATGTAAACACAGGCATACACACACACACACTCAGACACATACCCTACAAATCTTTAAGATAAAAAGTGGGGGGTTGGGAGAACAACCAATTAATTGGGCCAAGTCTCAAAGGAGAGGAAATAAAATGAAAAATCCAGGCTGGGTTATAAAAATAAGTATTTTTTTTCCAGCGTGCAGGAGGCTCATTATATTAATTAAACATTATTGCAGTGAAGGAGAGGAGGGAGGGTGATTAAGGCTGGGACCGGGTAAGTGCTCTCTCCCGTTGCCCGCGGCTGTGCCGATCCTCAGATATTAATCTCTCCGAGCTCTCGAACGCTGAAGAGATAAACACTTGAAATATGAAAATGTTTTTCTCTAGAGCAGACGCTGTGACCCTCTGGGAAAGCAAGTGCAGGCCGTGTCGGGAGGCGGCCGCAGTGCCCTCCCAGCGTCTGTCCTACTGCCTCCCCTGGGGACAGGGGACACTGCCAGTTCTTGCAGTGAGGGGCAGGGGCAGCTCCGGGGGACCCTGCAGAAGGGACGGTCCCTTCTCCCTTTATTCTCTAGCCAGGCAACATTTAATCTGCTAATTTCCAAAGTGAACCCCTTTCCTCTCGAATGCTGGGGGGGGTGAGGTAGGGGGGTGGCACGGGGGTGGGGGGACCGATGGCCCAGGCCAGGGGTGTGGGAATTTGAAAGCGAATGCCTGGAGTGCCAGAGCCGGTATTTGTGACGACCTGTTGTTAAATTATCTGGGATTTTGCAAGCCGGTTGTTAAACGCAAGCACTATTAAAAATTAAATGATAGAAAGTTACAAGTAAATAAATGAGATTACAAACTCAAGATAATAAATTCGTTAAAACTCAACACTTCCTAATTATTTTAATATGATTTACCGGTACCTATGCTCCCAAGGCTATTTGCATGTATCACATCTGCCTGAGGGGGAAACTACGGGTGCTGTGCCCCCCCGCCCCCCACCCGCCCACTGATGGCTGGTGGCTTGAGTTCAGCTACAGCAGGAGGAACTGCAACCCTGAAGGTGGCCCGCAGAGCAGGGCTTCTCATCCTCGGAGAGCTGCTTGTGAAGCATCTACCAGAACATCCCTGTAGCCGCGTGCAGCCCCGGACATGGCAGATGACCTGCTTCCATCTATTCCAGTGATGGCGAACCTTTTGAGCTCGGCGTGTCAGCATTTGGAAAAACCCTAACTTAACTCTGGTGCCGTGTCACATATAGAAATTTTTTGATATTTGAACCATAGTAAAACAAAGACTTATATTTTTGATACTTATTTTATATATTTAAATGCCATTTAACAAAGAAAAATCAACCAAAAAAATGAGTGTCATAGGCTCGCCATCACTGGAAGGGCCCAGGCAACGCCTCATGTCCAGGGGCCAGAGGCTTTTGGACTCGGACTCGGCAGGACAGCGCCAGGCGGCTCTCCTAGACACCGGTGGGCATGGCAGCGTTCGGGCCCTCGACGGGGCTCGCCACAGAAGCCAGGCCACCCTGGGAGAAGGTAAGGCCGGCCCGCGGCTTCCTGACGGGCCACTTTAGGAATAATACCCAGCCTGACAAGAGGCTCTGTGACGCTGGCAGCGAGGACCGGCCGGGAACAAGGGGACATTGACTCATGGCATCTCCTAGACCTCCCCACGGCCCTTCCTTCCTTCCTCTTCTTTTATCTTGGCCTCTCTCCCTCCCGCCCAGCTCCCAGGCCGTCCTGTAATCACAGGCGAGGGCAGGAACCACCAACCCGCTATTCTGTGGGGTGACGTCGTGAGCGAAGACCGTGGTGGTTTGCGGGCAAAGGGCAGAGGGTGGCTCTGTGCTGGGAAGTTAGGAAGCCTGCCCGAGGGTCTGAGCGGAGAGCGTGGGGAAGGCGAGCCTGACGCTCTCATCTCTGCACTCGCAGCCGGCTTACCTGGGAACGTGCGGTCGTTGGGGCTGGTGCTGCCGGCCCAGGTGCTCCGGAGCCACTTGGCGTGGTCGTAGATCCAGCCGCAGGCCTCCTCGGGGAAATCGAAGTTGCAGTTGAATCCTGAAGGGAGCTGCAAATCTTTGTCTGAAAGAAGAGAGAGAGAGAAAAAAATAACCCAAAGGAACGCCAATGAAATGGGCTCAGAGAACAGCCACCATGGTGCTATTTCAATGGCTGGCAAGGCCTGAGTGCAGAGCAGAGAAAGAAGGCTCCTTTTCGCTCATTCATTTCACTCCTCTTGGCGGTCGCTGGCTTTCGGGTCAGCCTTTGGTCTCATCCTTCCCAGGCACGAAAGCCAAGTCTGCCCGCGGTTCCCATTGTAAGCGATCACAAAGGAGGCCACCGAGTGGCTTTGGGCTCTCCCTGGCCTCTCTGTCCACCTCGGAGCGCAGACCAATGTGAAAATCGCTGCTCCCTACACGCCAGAGGAGAATGTCTCCCCAGGGCCTCGGTGGGAGGCTGGCTCCTGCCCACCTGGCTCTCGGGAGTGATGGGCAGCCCGGTAGCATCCAGAGAGGCGGGAGGGAATGCAGGCCAGCGAGGAGAAAGTGGACACTGAGACAAGGCCGGCTTGTTTGCTCCCCTTCACCTCCTGCGGTAGGTCTCTCGTTTCAGAAGACCGGGCCATTTCCACATCCCGGGGGAGGCGCTGCCAGGTGGCATGTTAGGGCAAAGTGAGGGAACCGGACCAGCCGGACCAGCTGGCCGCCCGCTCAGCGCTGACCAGGAGGAAAAGGGATTGCACAGGAAGGCTGGGTCCAAGGTCAGCAGAGGGTGCATCCTCATGGGAGTCTCAGAAGTGGCCACCGATGGCTCGCCCTGGCTGCTCGGTTGTTCTCGGGCCTGAGCTAGAAGCCTGAACCTGAGGCGTTGTTTTGAGGGTCCACTCGGCTCTAAAAACCAAGACTGAGCTGGTGCTACATGGGTGATGCAGCGGGGGTGGGTGGAGGTGGGCGAAAAGAGGAAACAGGACAAGTATGGATGCTTGCGCTCGCCAGAAGGGCCTGTGGAGACGGCAGGAAGGTGTGGCCAGTGCTGGCAGCAGAGAGGAAGTGGGGTCCCTGGCCTTTTCACTTCCCTTCTCAGGGTTCCCAGGGAGGAATTTCCGCGGAAGGCCTCAGACGTGGGTTCGGAGGTCTGAAGTGAGTAACAGGCTGGAAACAGATTGCTCCCACCACGGAGGGGAGGAGGGCACGCCTCTGAGGGCAAGGGCAGGGCTAGCCTCAGCGCAGAGGGCCACCGGGTGCTACCGGGCCCTGCTCATGCCTCTCCTTCCCAAGAGGCAACGTGGAATGTTTGCCCACCGTGGGCCAAAGTCAGCTCGAGTGGAGAAGAAACACATGGAATCTATTACAGGATCAACCTGTGGCTTGGAAAAGTCAGCTCCTAGCCCTCACCATCCCCTTCTCCCGGCCATTTCTGAATTTCTATTTTTCCGTTCAAAAAATATGGAGTAATTCAATATACCGTAATTCCTCTCTCATGTTGACATGCATACTGCATCCCGGGAACCAAATTCCACAAAGGGATCTTGTGCAAAAGAAGAGGGAAGGGAGGAACCACCAAAGAAACCTCAAAGGAAACAAACCGCTACCAACAGGAAAATTATATGAAACTTCTGAACGTTTGCAGAACCCTTCCATTTTCCTTCGGGCTGCCACTGAGATAGAAGCCCCGCCCCCGCCCTCCGCCCAGCCAACCCTGCTAACCCGACACCATATATTCGCTCCCTGTGCATTCTACTTTTGGCCCTCAAACTATCTTAAACATGTCTTGGAAGATTCTCCAAGTCTCCTTCTCCTCTTGATAAAACAAAAACAAGTTCATTAAAATGTCAGGATTCTGTATTCCACTCACCCTGACCAATAGTGTCCCTCCACCCACACAATGCACAAAAGCACATTCCTAAAAGCATATGCATTAAATTATCATTTTTCAGTCACACAACTTCAGCATTTATTTTTGGCTTCCCTCCCATTCTTCTTCGCAGCCCTTTTTTTTTTTTTTTTTTTTGAGCTGGCCACTCCATCCGCGCAGTCCCTCCGACTGTCAGGCCGCTGAGTGTGCGGGTCCGGCAGACTCCACCGTCCACCTACGGAGTCTCCATCGCTTCCCAAGTCTCTTCACCAATTTCCCCTCATTTTGTTTAATGAACATTTAATAATGGTCAGTAATTTACTGTAAATGGAGGCTGTCAGGCATGAACTTCCAGCCAAAAATGCCAGGTGTTCCAAAATTTGTGGTTTGTTAGGAATGTCCTCAGACTCCGCTCCTTAGCGGTATGATTTAAAACCTGTCGCACTTTTGGTCTCTGCCAATTGTTTCCATCGAACGTGGGTATGTTTAGGAGACGGAATGAGAGGAGTCCAGATTTCCCACCTGATGAGGAGGGGCCCTGTGCCTGGGAGGAACTGAGGTGCCTTTTGATACGTCTGCTTTTGTCACTGACCTGCACTCACACCCCACGGAGGACGCGCGATCCCATGGAGTCATAGTGATGACACTTTCTCAACCAGTGGTGGTGAGAGACAGGGAAATGCAATTAAGGAATGGTTAACGCTGAGTTAACCTTGACTAGGGGGCTCCCTGAACCATGTCACCTCCAGATTTTCACCTGACTGTATTGTGAAGACACGGCTTCGCAGGAACAAGGATCACAGATGTGGATTCTGACCACGTGAAGTGAGGGCTAGAGAAGAGGAGGAGTCCTCTTTAAATGGACCCTCATGCCCGGCTGTGGTGGCTCAGTGGTTGAACATTGACTAAGAACCAGAAGGTCACAGTTCGATTCCCGATCAGGGCACATGTCCAGGTTGCGTGCTTGATCCCCAGTGTGGGGTTTGCAGGAGGCAGCTGATCAATGATTCTCTCTCATCACTGATGTTTCTCTCTCTCTGTCTCTCCCTCCCTTCCTCTCTGAAATCAATAAAAATATATATATTTTAAAAAACGGACCCTTATCTCAGCTGATGATCACTGGGTTCGTGCCCATAGGGCTGTACAGGTGGTTCCAATACTGATTGGTTGGAAATGGCCGTTGCCCCAAGCCCCTGAGTACCCGCACCTCCCTGACCTCTGACCCAGTAACCCCCAGGTCCCTGCCCAGCCGCAGGTCAGCCTCCATCCCCACTGGTAGGCACCCCTGCCATCCCGGATGAATGCGACTCTGACCCCGACCCTCACCGTCCTCAAAGCTGCAGTTCTCCCCGCACTCCGTGGCCTCCTCGTCAATGGGATACGGGGTGGTGGTCTCTTCGCTCCTCACGGTGGGTCCCAGTGTCTCCACGGTGGGCTTGGCATCTGCGTGAAGGCAAAGGAAGGGGCGTGAATGCCGCATACAGCAGCCTGCATTGAAACGCAGCAGGAGAAAGAGGCCCCAAACCAGGTTTCCTGTCTGAGTGTGGGCCATCAGAGAAGGAGAAAGAAAGCCAGGACACACGCACCCTGAGGCCACCCCTGTGTGCCGGCAATGATGTCGGAGCGTTGTCCGAGCTGAACGAAAATGGGCTCAAGCTGCAGAAACAGCCCAGACAGAGGCCCTGATACAAACCCCCGCTAAGGCCTTCCTGCCCAGCAGAGGCCCTGAGGCTGGCATGAAGGCCACGCGAGACAGGGCCACATGAGACAAGAATGAATGTGGGTGACGCTGACCCGGAGGCGGGGCTAAGCCACACTCTGGGTGGTCCGTTAAGACAGAAGTGTGGTGAGCAAACACACAAAATAAATGATGCTCATCAAAACCAGTTTGCATGCTTCTTGCTGCTGAACAACCTGAGCTTCCGTTCAGAGGAAACCTAGCGCCTACCTGTGCCCCTCCCCTTGGGTGGCAGCCGACATGCCTTCCTGCCTCACCCCTGCTTTTGCGTGAATACAGAACTTTTGGAACCAAAGCTCACCCCACCTGGGCGGCACAGTCACACAAAGCCGTAAGCAAATCCGGTGCCTGGGGGGTGTGATCCCGATACTGCTGTTCACGTTTGCACAAAAGCAACAGAAAGGACTGCGGATTCAAAGGGACTCAGACTGCTTGGTGGGAATCATGTGGGGCTGTGCCTTCAGGAGCTGTACCTGTTCCTTGGCGCCACTGTGTGTGATTAGGTGTCTTTGTGAGGCCCCTTCAGGATACCATGTAATAAACAATAAGGCGTGGCAGAGTCAAAAGCTTCCTAAATTCAATGGCTGCTGCCAGGCAGGCTGGGGGTTGGGGAGAGTCAAGGATGGGACAGAAGGTGGCGCAGGGGACCTTGCCTGCCTGATTTAAGGGGCCACCAGGACTGGCTCCAGCTGATTGAGGCCCGGAGGGATGGGGGTGAGGAAGAGTGGGGAGGTGGCCAAGTGTGGCCAGATCTTGCAACCCCCCCACCCCAAATCCAAGAATCCCCACGTAAAACCTCCAGACTTATCCATGTTGGCAACTGATTCAAAATATTATAATAACTAGAATGCAACAAAACCGGGCTGGGCCCAACCTGGCTGCAGGCAGTCAGTTCTGACCTGGTGATTCATTCACCTATCCATTCACTTGTTTATTTGCTCACCCCAGTCATTCATTCAGCAACCGTTTGTGAAATGAATTAAACCGTGAGTCAGGCCCTTGGTGGGGCAAAAAGGAGTGCTGGTGACTGGTGTTCAAACCCATGTGTCGTGGGGCGGGGCCTTCGTCCCAGAGCTGTGCTCCCACCAGACTCCCCGAGTACGCCCAGGCGCGGTTCCTCCCATTTCTGTACCTGCTCCTTGGCGCTATTGTGTGTGATTAGGCGTCTCTGTCAGGTCCCCTTCAGGATACCATTTAATAAAGCCAGGAGCTGAAGGAACTCGCTAAATACGCTGAAACGCCTTTTCACGGTCGATTTCCCATCTTTCTGCTATTAAGTACTACGCACCTAACCTTTCAGACTCCCCTTCGCCGTGCCTGCCTCTTGCTCACAGTCAACAGCAAATAACCTCGAAGCGTCCTAATTTGTAAGTTCGAATTTGTCACTGTGTCACGGAATCTCAAACTCAATTGTACAGCAAACTCCAGGCAGCAAGGCAAGAAGTAATCATTGGAAACACACACGGACTAACAGGTGGAGCAGCCCTGTCACATTACTTAGCGGCAGGGACCCGGCCCGGCCCATTCTTTTCGCTGGGATCCTTCTGGGGTAGGAATGAAAGGCATGAGCCAAGGATGAGTCGCACAAACTCATCCTTGATGGGTGGACATGTGACAAGCCAGAGAGCCACGTGCCCTGGGAGAGCAGTTTCTGGAAATGTGAGGTAGCAAGATGGGTCAGCGGATCGGTGGAGATGAGGCTAAGTGCGAGGAAACAGCAGCGGCCTCTGTGTCCACAGTGTTTGTACTGGGCGCTCCCAGGCAAGTGCCTGTTAAACTGCTGTGTCCACAGTGTTTGTACTGGGCGCTCCCAGGCAAGTGCCTGTTAAACTGCAATTGAAACCAGATGTCCGAGACTTCAAAGGGAGGGAGGCCGGGCAGAGGGTAACGAGCCCCAACTCCGCTCTTCGGAGGAATGGCCGGGCAGGACTTTGAAATGAGAAACCTGTTGCTGACCGTCACCAGTGTCATTTGGGCCAGGTTGGGGTGGGGGTGCAATACGTGGAAAAAGCCATTTGCCACTGTCCGGCCGGTCAGAGAGCAGGGCCAGCCGGGAGAGGCCCGGCCCAGAGGGCCCGAGGACAGGACGGAAGTGTGAGCAAGCCCCCGGCGGGCTGAGCGACCTCTGCCGCTGGCTTCCTCTCTCGGGGGCTCAGTTTCTTTATCTGTGAAAGAGGCGCTGGCTTCGATTTGTGATTTTCCCCCCAAACTGTACGTCACATGCATTAGTAGGCTGTGGAATCAATTTAATGGGTCGTGACCAGCATTTTAAATATCGCAGCGATAACATTTCAGCGCGCACGCACGTGGTGAGGATGAGCACTGCTTTGGGAACCTTTGGTCTCAGTCGTACTTACTTATCCTAACAGGTTTATTAGGTGCCGGGCAGCAGTCTATGTACTTGATATCCGTTATTTTGTGGAATCCTCAGAATAACCCTAGGGGGTGTAGCTATACCATGATCACCCCCATTTTTCAGCTAAGATACCTGAGATGCTGAGGGCTAAGTAACGTGTCTGACTTACACCTGGCAATCTGTGGCCAGCGTCTAGGCACTCAGTGGCACACTGTTCCCCATAGGCACACACATGTGTGCTTATGTGTGTGTGTGTGTGTGTGTGTGTGTGTGCATACATGCACTTGTAAATCTGGTGGGTAGTTTTATAAATTTATTTTATCTTGTGGATGGTGGTTAAAACCACTTGAAAGCCACTGGCCTAGAAGCTGCCGTTTTCAGTGCCTCAAATGGGCAGGTGACCCACATTCCTCGGAGACCTGGCCTTAGTGCTACCTAATGGGGAGTAAGTGTCTCCCCGCTAGATGTGCTCGTGAGGACTGCCTGCACTCGGAGGGGGCGGGAGGCCAGTCTGGGCCCGATTCCCACCTGTGTGCCGCCATGGGCCCCCTCCTCTGCGCCATCGCAGCGGGCACGCCGGAGGCACTTTTCTCCCTGGGAGCCGAAAGCACTCCTCCGACATGCTCTTATCAATGCTCCACGATCCCCTGCTGGGGACAGGCACAGCGCAGACAGGAGAATGGGAGATACCTGGGCCCTGGTGGAGGAGGCCGGGGGCTCAGCCCGCCCTGCCGCTCCGCTCCTGCTGGTCTGGGGCTGGTGCCCGGGGGACAGGTGGGCCCAGACCAAAAATAGGCAGGGCGCTTCGCCG